ATTGAACTTAAGTAATCCTTTATACCTTTTAGGTTCAGGGATTATATGTTTCCCTAAGGATAAACGATTCAAAAATTAAAATTAAGCACGTGGTTTCATAAAGGATGAGATATACTTTAATAATTGCGATGATAAATCTTTTCAGGCAACTTACTAAATGAATAAAAATTCAAAAATTACTTATTTTATTATCTCTTAATAGAAAAAAAGATGCAAGTGGAAATATAGTATGAAGAATAACGGAAATGGACTCACGGAATGTCGGGCTAAAAAATATGGACATAAGCCGTGTTTCTTCCCGTATAATTTTAAATCATTCTAAAAAGTGTAAGATGAAATTTTCGATACCAAACTATAGATTCCAACAGGGAGAGGTTCTTCCCGACCGTGTACATCGAACTCCTTCATTGTTAGACTGAATTAAGTACTTGCCTCAAAAAATTTACAGTATGCAAGAGAGGTGTTTGTTTTACGCCGGTCCCTTACAAAGGAAGCGGTTAGTTTTCTGCAGGCAGCATCAATTTCTGCCCCGTCACCAACCCGCCGAACAAACCTTTCAATGCATAAATTTTTCCTTGAACTAAGAGCAACGCCTAAAAGGCTGCAGCCCTTTTCTTTTGTCTCCTGAGAATAATATTTGTCAAGGACTTTGAGTTCAGCGACAACCTATGGAATGAAAATAGTGTAGGCTATTACTTTCTCTAGTTCTGGAACGGTTCTAGAACAGTAAATCAATTTTGATACTACTGCAGGTTTTGCTTTCATATAGGCAACAATAAGACTCAAAAGAGAGACTGTTTTTCCTGTTCCAGATGGCATCTCAAGTACACCATGACCCTATTTTAAGTAAGCTGCTATAATAATTAACCTTAGCATCCAGAGTTCGTTTAAGCTCTATCATGTAATAATATTGTTCCGGATAAATATATTCATAAGGAAAGTACACCAATAATCCATCCACATTGATTCTTTAAACGAAATATCAAGAAATACAATACTAACTTCATCCTTCGCGTTTATAGACAGTACCACAATCAGTCACCCATTAAAAGATAAAGTTTTTAATTTTCTAATATTATTTACATTTATTTGTGTGCTTACTTTTTAAAAAATAATTTTTTACACTAATTAATTAAGATTTTAAATTTTTTTTAATTGTGAAGCAATGCTACTCTAATGATACGCTTAAATTGTAAGCAATCTGTAAAAGCGTAAGGCCAGAGTAATATTAAGGGATTGTTAAGTAGAATCTCCAAACATTCCTAATTAAATGCACATAGAGCCTTATTCTTATTATGCTAGAGGTCTTGGAGAATTTTTAGTACTAATGAATAAATAGTGAAAATTAAGAAATATATATACTCTTTAGGATAATTTTATGTGCTTTTTTACAGGCTTATGGACTTTTTAACCCTACCTCATTAGTTTCAGATGAGAATAAGCCGAAAAAGTTTAGCAGGATTTAGATACCTCTTCTAATATCTCATTGAAATGGTGATTTTATTTTTTTATGGACATGCTCGATGAAGAGATTTCCTGTTCGATCTCACCGGAAAATACATCTTGACTTCAGCTATTGTCTGATATTACTTTAAGGTACATATCAGTGGTTTCTTCCTTTATGCAGAAAGAAGGTTGGGCTTTTATCTTCTATACAAGAGTATTTGGCAGGCTTAATTCTCATTTATATAAAACCCTCAAATTAGCGATAGATCACACAGACTAACACGTTCTCACTTTTATGCTATATTTATTTTATTTTTTTTCTAATAACAGCAACAAAATCTAGTTGCTAAAAATGGGATATATAATACATTGTTATGCCCTATTTAAGGTCATTCTAATAACTCGTATGTTCACTTATGTATGTGTAAGAATCCACCTCTAGAATAACCCTGCTCAGTAATCAAAAGAAAAACTTTACTAAGAGTGCGTAATCCTGAACATATTTGGTTTAGTTTATTAGCCGAATAAGTGGCTAGGTCCGATTTGGACCTTTCTATACAACAAAAAGACCCACGAAAGGTAGACTTATATATTTGCAGCTCTTTATAAAGTGTATATATAGTTCATACTGGTCACAGGAGAATGATAAATTATCCAAATGGTATATTCTAACTAGTTTGCATCAGAATCATCCGTATAATTATTAACCCCAAAAGAGCTATTTGGTAACCAAATGCAGATGTTAGCGCCTGCGTATAAAAATTACCATCAGAGAAGATAAATTGTGTTCTC